ATCATAGGTATGATCACTGCTATATCTGGATAGAGCCGTATATTTTATTCCTGAAATTACCTGAAGATTCCACCCAAGGTATGAGTCATCTCAAATACTCACATTGTTCTGTGATACATGACCGCCACCTGGCGGGCAGGTGAGAAATAGCTTATGTACACACATTTCTCAACTAGCCAATCAGGAAGCCTGGTGGGAAGGTATCTTAGAACAATGGACTAGTGGATATAAAAAGCCCATGTGCTGTAACATAAAAAAAAAACCTCATGAAAAAGAAGAACCCTCATAAGACCTCATGGAAAGACCTGACATCTGAAGAAGATCTCTGCTGAAATAACTACTCTTCCATCTTTTCAAACTTCCTAAAACTTTAAACCTCTAAACTTATAACTTCCTACATTCTCCCCTATGAATCTCTCACTTGCCTATATATCAGTCTAAAGGCGTTCCACTGCCAGCTAAATCCACGGGAGAGTTGCCTAGTCTGACGTCCGGGTGTGGTGAGATGTTTATTTGATTTGTATTAATTACTTTCTCTGTTGTGTAGAATCATAAAATTACCGTAGTGTATTACAACAATATTGGATAGTTAGATATATGTAGTCAGATACTGTGTTACTGTTAAAAAAATTGTTTATTGCCATATTATAAATTTTTCCATATTTCATAATTTATTGAATATTAATAACCAGAGTATCACATATCAAGGGCTTACTTCTTGCAGGCCTATGGCCACGGCGTGTAAGAATATAACCCTTGAGATATTCGAAATTATTAATTATTAATAAATTTAATAAATATCGTATCATTTAAATTTGTGATTGATGTAATTAGTTAGAGACATTATTAGTGTGTCTTACATTGGTAGGATATATTTTTGATTGTGTGTACCAATATTCATTTATCACCAGTCTTTTGTGTTTTGTGTTAATATATATATAATTTTTGTACATAAATAAATTTTTATATTTATCTATTATAAGGCAAATTTTGTGTGTATGGTACGAAATCATATTGGCTAAAAGAATTCAAGGTATAATAATAAGTGGTGATCAAATTATCAAGGTGTCCAAATTATTGGTTTACTAAATATTTGCCGTATTTTAACGGCTGGAGGCACTGTAATATTTCATCTAAGGGAAAGGGACACGCCCTTTATAAATAATATATATCCTTACCTAAACCACCACAACAATTGGTGATGTCACTGACCAGGGCATGTTGTATTGGTGATGTCACAAGAGGGCAAGGCCACCCAGTGATGTCACAGGGTGGTAGAACTCCTTAGTTTATTTAGAAGTGGGAGGCGGCGGAGCTGTCAGATGGCAGGAGTGGAGCTTTGTTTTTTCTAGCGATGGCAGCGAGTATTGTGATTGGATCATCAATGGATCTACATCAGGGGGATATTTCTCTTTATTTTTGTTTTGTCAAAAATTTCTTACAGTGTTTTTTTACACTACATTTTTTTTTGGTGAATGAATAGGGGTACTATGTACTCTATACTCATTCACATTGTGGGGGGCTGGCATCTGGGGGCCTCCATGTTAAAGGTGGCTTCTAGATTCCAATTAGCCCCCCACCCACAGCTCAGGGTTGTGAAGAAGGGACCCTTGTCCCCATTGACATAGGGAAAAGGTGCTTTTGGGGGGGCAGAGCGCCCCTGCCCTGAAGCACCCAACCCATATGTATGTGGGCCTGGTATGGTTCAGGAGGAAGGTGGGCACTCACTAAGGGTCTGGTATTGATTTTGGAGGGGAAACCACGCCTTTAATTTTATTATGTTTGGCATCGGGGGTTTCCCTCAAAATCCATACCAGACCTGTCACAGCTGTCAGCGGGGAACTTGGCGGCCGCCCGCTCCTTGTTTACTGGTTGTTGGGGACACTGGCGGCTGCCCTCTCCTTAACAACAAGCTATTTACAAGTGTTGCTATGGACACCAGTGGTAAATTCCCCGCAGGCTTCACTACTAAAAAACAGAATGCAGCATCTTACTACATACTGGGATACGGGAAGATACCGCTTTGTGATTGGAGCCCATAGTCTCTACAAGTCCATGTTCTAGATTCTCCATCCCACCAACCTTGTAATAGTGAGGGATGGTGTGACCTTCCTGTGTGGAATCCCGGGAATACAGAGGACGGGGACATCTCTCTGGTGGGTTCCCATGACTGGATCCATCTGTAGGAAACACACACACTGACTGAATCCATTGTTTCTATGTGTTTATCAGATGATGGGGGATCTAGGTGGATCCTCCGTACTGCTCTCTCCTTTACAATAAAGTCTCCTCTTACCCGGTGATGTGAGGGGCGGCTGATTGTCCATCATGACGTCCTTGTAGAGATCCTTGTGTCCTTCTAAATACTCCCACTCCCTCCATGGAGAAATAGACAGTGACACCCTGACACCTTATAGGAACCTGACACACACAATGATACAGTCACCATCCAGACACATCCCTTGTCTGTTACTGGAGAATGTCCCAGAATTCCCGGCACCGCTCACCTCTCCTGTCAGCAGCTCCATCATCTTCTTGGTGACTTCTAGAATCTTCTGTGTCTTCTGTCTTGTAGGGATCAGGGATGGAGGTGGGGGGATGGTGATGGGATTCTGGATTCTCGAGGATCTTGTGGTCATACGATGAGATCTCCTTCTGGTGTCATTGTCGGTAGATTTCTTCATGACTCCTGTACAGTTCTGTGTGATACAAAGATAAATCTCACTCTCCCATAATCCCTCACTTCTATGGTCAGCTCTAGATTTATTCTCCAGGGATTGGCCACAATGTGCCGACTCAGCAAAGGACAGACATCTCCATCCAATGATATGATGACAATGGGGTCAGATTTATAGCTCCTTCTAGAAGTCATATAATAGAGTCACTAATGGTTTACTAGTAAGGCTCACTGACCCACCAGGAAATGTCACCCATGGATTTAGTGGTCAGTGGGCGTGGCATGCTGGTAATCATGGGTCTCTCTGATTGGACTAAAGCTGAGATTGTTCTCTTCTATAACCAATGCCGCCATCTTGTGCTATAACCAAATCTCATAGAGTCCGGACACTTTATGTATTCATAGTACTTGTGTGTGGATGTCGTTATTGATTACAGAACATCAGAAGACTTCAAGTGACTCTGAATCCCTCCCAGTGTACAGCCCAGTCAGATTTAACCCCTTCATTACACTCACCTCTCCAGTCAGCAGGCTGAGGATCTCCAGGGTGAGCTTCAATATCGTCTCATTCCGGGGAAATTCCTTCCTTACAATCTTCACAAAACCCAAAGTCTGCTGATTGTCCATCATGACGTCCTTGTAGAGGTCCTTGTGTCCTTCTAAATACTCCCACTCCTCCATGGAGAAATAGACAGTGACACCCTGACACCTTATAGGAACCTGACACACACAATGATACAGTCACCATCCAGACACATCCCTTGTCTGTTACTGGAGAATGTCCCAGAATTCCCGGCACCGCTCACCTCTCCTGTCAGCAGATGGACCATCATGGTGGTCAGTTCCAGAATCTTCTGCTCTTTCTCCCTCTCAGGTATCAGAGAATGAGATGGAGGCACCATGGTGAGGCTCTGGGTTCTGCTCCATCCTCCTGAGATTGGCTCCCCACTAGACTTCTTCTTTACAACATAATCCTACAGATCAGGAGACAAATAAAACAATATCAACCACCTGACATCATCTAAATGTGTGCAAAAATAAAATGGTCTATTGACCAGAATAGACAAGAGTGATGTCATGTGACCTCCCAGAATCCTCCTCACCTCTCCGGTCAGGTCTGTGTTTTATTAATAGAGATGAGAGTGATGTCATGTGACCTCCCAGAATCCTCCTCACCTCTCCGGTCAGGTCTGTGTTTATTAATAGAGATCAGAGTGATGTCATGTGACCTCCCAGAATCCTCTTCACCTCTCCGATCAGGTCTGTGTTTTATTAATAGAGATGAGAGTGATGTCATGTGACCTCCCAGAATCCTCCTCACCTCTCCGATCAGGTCTGTGTTTTATTAATAGAGATGAGAGTGATGTCATGTGACCCCCCAGAATCCTCCTCACCTCTCCGGTCAGGTCTGTGTTTTATTAATAGAGATAAGAGTGATGTCATGTGACCTCCCAGAATCCTCCTCACCTCTCCGGTCAGGTCTGTGTTTTATTAATAGAGATAAGAGTGATGTCATGTGACCTCCCAGAATCCTCCTCACCTCTCCGGTCAGGTCTGTGTTTTTATTAATAGAGATCAGAACGATGTCATGTGAACTCCCAGAATCCTCCTCACCTCTCCGGTCAGGTCTGTGTGATATTAAGAGATAGAGATATGTGAGAGTGATGTGTTTTATGTGACCTCCCAGAATCCTCCTCACCTCTCCGGTCAGTCTGTGTTTTTATTAATAGAGATAAGAGTGATGTCATGTGACCTCCCAGAATCCTCCTCACCTCTCCGGTCAGGTCTGTGTTTTATTAATAGAGATAAGAGTGATGTCATGTGACCTCCCAGAATCCTCCTCACCTCTCCGGTCAGCAGGTAGATGATCTCCAGGGTGAGGTTTAGTATCTTCTCAGTCATGTGACTCCGGTCCTCCTCCATCCTCATTGGTGCCATCATGTGATCTATACAGGTCTCCTTGTAGACGGATAACTTTGGGAAATGAAAGTAAGAATGATTTGGATGGTATTGGTCACACAATAATAGGATGTGGATGTGAGGGGGGGGGAATAGGAGGGTTGCTGGACATTGAAGAACTACTCCCCCCCATGGGAAGACATTTTGTTTGGACTGTTTAGTGTTTACTACAATTTTGGGGGGTCCGGGGCCCCTTTTCTCTGTTGGGTTGTTTGGTCTCTGAACTGGTTTTGATGAGTATTAGATCTGCAGACAAGGAATGATAAATCTGATCCTTCCTATGACTAGTTTGCTCTGAGGCAGTGCTGTGAGGTCAATGTCGGCTCATCATACAGGGATGGTCACTTTACATCACCCGACGCCCGGGACATGTAGTTCTGGGGGCCGGGCAAGTATTGTTTTTAATCTTTATCCCTGCTGAGGGCAAGCCGCAGGCATCTCCTTTCAGGTGCCAGCCTGTGTGAACCCCCCTGTACCTATGTTTCCTATGCTTCCCCTCTGCTTGCCCATCTGTGGGCCCGGGTCAGTGGGTGTCGGAGGGTAGAGGGGACGGAGGAGAGCAGACACGTTCACTCCCTTCTTGTCCTGACCCAGAAGTGACGTTATGACAGATTTCCCGACCATCGAGGCCGGCAAAGAATGTAATGCAGTGCGATGTGCACTACATTACATCCAATGGAGTACAGGGGAGACATTGGGGGTCTTTTAGACCCTGGATGCCTCAATAAAGAGAACCTCTCATCAAAAGTCATCTCATAGAGGACTTTGTCCCTGTCACGGGGCCCGGCTGTCCATGTACTCTCCCTCCCCACTTGCCGCATCCCCTCATCCTGCACACAGCCTTTGAATTAGGCCATGCAGGATGAGATGAGGGAACTCCTGTGGCGAAGATCAAAGCCCCTCAGGAAATCTAGGCGGAGGAGCTGTGACCCCCTTGCCAAGAGACCACGGTGGCAGCCCGCCATGGTGTCTCCACGTGGCTCTGACAGGCAAGCACGGTCACAGGGGCTTCCCACACTCTGTACCACCAAGAGACAAAGGCTGCGCTCACAAGAGTGAGGCCCGAGTCAAGGGGACGTGCCTCATTGCTCCGGCAATGCGGTGCTGGGCCAAACATTGCCGGGGCAACCAGGAAGCATCCTAGGCAGCCTTAAAAGGGTCGTCACAGGACCCGGCCGGTGTCTTCTTTGCCTGCCACCACTGCTGTTTGTTGGGAGGTCCGAGTGGGTCCCAGTGGGGACCAGACCTCCGCCAAAATAAATGTGGGCACTCTGCAAGAGACTCTTTCTTTCCCCCCTGAACAGGTCAGAACTAAGACTTCCAGGACTGGGAGCACCCGCTGCCACTCTGCTAATACTCCAGGGCTGGGAGTACCACTGACACTTTGCTAATACTCCAGGGCTGGGAGTACCACTGACACTCTGCTAATACTCCAGGGCTGGGAGGGAGTACCGCTGACACTGCTAATACTCCAGGGCTGGGAGCACCGCTGACACTCTGCTAATACTCCAGGGCTGGGAGTACCGCTGACACTGCTAATACTCCAGGGCTGGGAGTACTGCTGACACCCTGCTAATACTCCAGGGCTGGGAGCACCGCTGACACATCTGCTAATACTCCAGGGCTGGGAGTACCGCTGACACCCTGCTAATACTCCAGGGCTGGGAGCACCGCTGACACTCTGCTAATACTCCAGGGCTGGGAGCACTGCTGACACTCTGCTAATACTCCAGGGCTGGGAGTACCGCTGACACTCTGCTAATACTCCCAGGGCTGGGAGTACCGCTGACACTGCTAATACTCCAGGGCTGGGAGTACCCACTGCCCCTCTGTTAATACCCTGGGTCGGGACTACCTGCTGTGGGCCCCATGATACTCTGCCTGATACTCTGGGGCCCGGATTACCAGCTGTTGCTGTGTGCTGAGCAGGGTCGCCCCTGCTGCCATCTGCTGTGAGCCAGGACATCCCTGCCGGAGCCGCGAGTGTCTGCACCCTTGTTTTATCCCTCTATGGACTGTCCATGAACTCTCCCTCCTTCCTCTTCCCTGTTTGGATTACAAGCTACCAGAGACTCTAACTTTGCCCCCCTGGGGCCAGATTACAATTATTCTGGGCTCTCCCCCTCTCTGAACACTCGTACATTGTATGCCCACTACTACCCTTGCTGGACTTGCCCTTCCGGGTGGATACTGGTTCCGGCTACCGCTACCCAAGTCGCCCTATCGTGGGCTGGATTACAATTGCTTAGGGCTCCGCCCTATATTTCCCTTGTTTGAGTACCCGGACGCTACTTTCCTACCCTGATTGTCAGTAAAGCTTTGAGTGTTTGTCATCCTCTCTGTGTGTTCTGTCCTGCCTACCCTCCATCACAGTCCCCTTAAGGAAAAATGTTTTTTTTTAATTGTAAAGAATTAGTTACACACAAGTACATAACTCCTCCCCTCAAAAAATGTTGAGGCTCCCCACCCCCACATATATGCACACCCAAATGTAAGAGCACACGCTGGAGCGCCTACACGTGATAACATTGATTGTGATACACGTTACATATCGCCGGTCACACCAGAATGAGAGCGATAATTCTAGGAGCAGACCTCCTCCGTACTCTATACTGATGACCTAGAAGGGGCTATAAATGTGTCCCCTATAGATAATACCGGGGACTAAAGGTTGTCACCATTTCAGCACACACAACTTAAGGTTTGACATGTTGGATATCTATTTACTCGCTGCAACCTCGGCTTTTATATTTTTACACATAAATGGGTCATATTGCTTTTTTTGTGCTCTGAAATTAACTTAAATATATTTTTTTTGTGAAATTTGGCATTTCCTAGACTTTGTGATAATATTTTGTGACATAAAAAAATAGAACTGCCGCTATTTTATTCTCTAAAGTCTCTACCTATATTTGGGGGGGTTTTGTGTCATCTTCAGGATAAAATGATTTTTTAAATGTGCAAAAAATGCAAAAATGGCTCTGGGAGTGAAAGGGAGAAAGGATAAGCCGGACACTCCCCTTTCCTGAGGAGCAGCCAATCAGTTCTCATTACACTGCAAGGAATCTCCCCCCCTGCTAGTCCCCGGGTGCGGTGCTGGAGACAGGCGGGGGGGGGGGAGGAGGAGATAAAACAGCGCAATGTTACACATATTAAATGTTTTAGTCGCTATAAAAGCCCCATTTATTTTTTAAACCCCAGAAATTCCTAAAAGATCCTCAGATTTATATACATTTTCTGTTAAAAAGGAATGTTTCCTTCCTCCTGAGCAGCAGCAATGTAAGGGGCTCTATGCTCCATACTCCTGACCCCGGCACTCCATCATTGTGTTGGCTGCATAGTGTAATGATTGCCCATTGGCTGCCTGTGTAGTGTCATCATTGCCCTTTGTAGGCCATGTATGGTCAGGATGGTCCTTGTCTTGTCTATTTATTGTCAGTGCTGTTTGTTTAGAGGACCATATTACTAGAATTTATCTCCACAATGAGGAGAATGTTCCGGCCCCGGAAGTGGGGGAATGTTCTGCCCCTGAAGGGGTTCATCTGGGTTCCCACACTATATATGTGTGTATCATCATCTGCTGGAGATAAAATACGTCACAGTGACTATGGAGGAAGAGGACGGACATGACTATGGAGGAATGAGGACGGACGTGACTATGGAGGAAGAGGACGGACGTGACTATGGAGGAAGAGGACGGACATGACTATGGAGGAAGAGGA